TCTCAACTACCCTCCTATCATAACAATCTTAAAAAAAGTGCCAATGTTTCTGAAGCTATATATTTAATTTTACTTCTATCATTCGCGAACTTTAGGCACCAAGAAGATCCCCCATTTTGAAGTAAGGAGTAACATCGATAATGGCACGATACGCAAGTTTACACGCGTAATTCCGAGATGCAATTTTGTTGCTTCCATACGACGTTACCATACCTATCTGAAATTCCCGATCCTGCCTTCGCTTTGTTATTATATTACTTCTATCTAATCCCTCCTCATTCTCGTCTACCATCGCACAGTTCGTTCAGTCCCGTCCTCCCACTCTCAACTCGATTGCCGAGAGATCATGCATTATTTTTTCTTTTCTTTTACCGTCGCTCGAGTACCCACGAGTTCGCCGAAATCATGATCGACTACTCTCTAAGTTCTTCAGTTTTCCGATTATAAGTTTCGACCGCTTACGGAGAGAACGGTGACGAAATAAATAAAGAAATTAATTTCTGTAGGAAAATTTCATTGAGTTAAATGCAAATTTTTATTTTTTTTGTGTTAATCTTCGCGATTAATTCGATTCCATCATCGTTCTCTTAAATGCCTCTAGTTATAGTGACTACTATCTCGTGATATATAAATACGTGCAACATGTATATGTACTGTACGAGTGCAAGCAATAGTTATACCTACTGCCCATCCCGTTTCGCCAGGACCGTAGATTCTGAAAACTTTTGCGAAGCGAGGTACAAAAAAATAATCAAACAGCGGAAACAAAAGAGAAAAATTAATTACCTGGAATAGCGGCTAATCGATGATCTCCGGGGACTTCTCGAGCAGGATCTACAAAAGATTAAGAATAACTAATGTATGTCTGCCAAGTGTTTCGCCAATGATCGCCTCGCGTCACGCTTTGAGAGATTTTCATTTGTCTTAGCACCTGAAAATTGCGGTTGGCGGCAAGATGGGTCGGAGAGAAAGCAAGACGGATTTATTTGTAAAGAGGAGACGCGGAGATAGCTAAAAGGAGCGGGAGTCTTACCTCGGGTAACGACCAAGGGATTTCCTACGGGGGCTGCGCGACCTGGACCTACAAATTTGTTTAAAAAAAAGAAAAGATATATCGTACATAAATCCGATAGTTTGCTAAAGCGTATGGACAAGAACATTGCAATAGGAAAGAGAAAGAACGAAAAACAGAAATAGAAAGGCATGAATAGTGATACCTAAGACAGTCTAGTGCTAAGAAAAAAAAAGACTATAAGGAATATTTAAAAAATGATTTAGCATGCAAGAAATATACGCTTCACATATGTAATATTATATATAATAAATATTTTTTATGCAATCAGATAGAAGAAAAATTGCTGATAACAACGTTACTTTTAATTCATCGTTAAACAAATAATAAAAAGAGTTCGAACAAAAATTTAAATTCAGATTATTCAATTAAACTTATAAAACATTAATTATTATTAAATATTTCTTTTACGCGTTTAAAAACAGATATAATCTATAATGTAATCACCAGAATATTCTAAAAGTATCTTGATACATTATAGATCAGGCATGGTCAACAGTTAACCACTTGAACTCCAATGCGAGTAGATCGTGGGACGTGCAACCCTCCACCATTTGACATAGGATGCCGGCTACACGTATGTTATGCATATGATAGTGGCGATCCATGTCAAGTGTCCCACGTCTCGCGATCTACCCGCACTGGCTCCGGAGCTCGAGGTTGATCATGAGGTTTGTTCTTTTTCAAAGAGCTTCCTAAACTGGTGCACACTGATGTAATAAGTTAGAGTGAGACAAGTATATTTTGTTTCCAAGTGCACCAGTTCAGGGCACGTATTATGAAACTTTTCGGAATGGATTCCGATCGGAATTGTTCAGTTATTTCTTAGATTTCTATTGTCTTTTCTAGGGAAAACGGAATAATTCCGATCGGAATCCATTCCGAAAAGTTCCATAATACGTGCCCTGGAAGTTCTTCGAAAAATGACAGACGGCATGCCTGTTATAGATGAATTCAATTTAAATTAATTCATTAACCAATTAACATTTAAATTGTATTAAAAGAAATATTTAATAATATCTGATACTATAATTGAAATCAATTAATATTAACTGTGCTCGAGACATTTAATTAACTCTTAAGAAAAAGTTACGAATATGACTTATTCCTCACAATCTTTTGCCTTAGTACGTAGGAACTGGGATTGAATAGTGCAATATTTCCCTATTCGCGCGAACATGCAACGTGGATTTAGCCGTGCTCTGGCTAATCCCCGGAATTAACCTTCCACCATATTCATGCAGAATAATATCTACAGTAGTGTAATCTCTGCGAGCGAGAGGAATCGTGCGACCTTAACTTAAAATTCGAAAAATCGGCAGTCTGAAACTGCGAACTTGCGATCGTGAACGAGGAAAAGGAGGATTAGCCAGACACACGACAACGACGAGAGAAAGAAAAAGCACGATATATAAAAAATATATAAATATGCAAACTAAATATGTATATATCGATATTCCTAGATAGACATGAGAGAAAATATCGAGTATCGCGATGGTGATGTGCACGAAAAAGTATTCACTGAGGGGAGGAAAAAAAAACTCGTGCATTACTCGTTTCGCTGATAAGAGCGCACCCTTACCTTAAGGGCAAGAGAGAAGCTCTTCTGCATTTGAATACCTACGTTGACGAGGAATGCTTAACCGTGTCACAGCTCTAACGCTTGTTTTCGCTGTAAAGTTCGCGATTGTTACGAAATGCTGCGGAATCTCTTACCTGGAATATCGAGGACCTGGCCTGCGACCACCGCCACCACGGCGACTTCTTCCAGAGGACATCTCAACTCTCACTCTAGTACCACAGCACCGTCTAAAAGATAATAATTGATGTTATCAGCTCTGAAATAATGATCTTACTGTGCTAATATGTTACTAGCATCTTACTGCTAATATCTACTGCCAATATATATTTTTCTCTCCCTTTGAATAGATCAAAAATCAAAAGACATCTCACCAATTTTAGGGATAAGTAGATAATTGCATTGCAAGTAATCAGAACTTTTTAAACACCAAGTAATAGTACAGTTTATTTTCCCTACTGCTCATAAATTTGCTTATATCTGAACTTTCATAATACTTTAACAAACAAGTTGAAAACGAGTTGAAAACTAGAAAACTTATCAGTTTATCTTTATTGATGCAAGATATTTATTACTGGTACAAAGGTCTATTTTTCTCTATGGAGGCTAAAGCTATACTCGAACTAGCAACAGTAAGCTCTTAATATAATAATTACTAATTCTCGACGTACGTTCCGTCTAGGCCTCTCACTGCATCTTCAGCATCTCGCGGATCTTCAAATTCCACAAACGCAAAGCCAGGAGGGTTTCTGGCTACCCACACATTTCTCAATGGACCATACTTACTAAATGCACTCTCAATCTCATGTTTACTAGCGCTGCTACCCAGATTCCCAACGTAAACCTTGCAGGATAGATCCCATTCACGATAACGAGACATTTTCCTGCCTGCAAACAAGTACATTATAAATAATAACATAATCCAGAGATTTGTATCTTGCTCTATAAAAGCAAGCTATAGATATACCATATATATATACAGTTATCTCTTTATTTTTGGTAGGTTACTCCTTTTTAGGGTAATATTTTATTTGTAATATTTTATTTGTCCTAAAACAAATTTTTGAAGCGTATTGATTGGCTACAAAATAGAAAATTTT